GAAAGCTGAAAAACTGTTTCAGCTTTTAGGAAATATGAGTGTGTATTTTCTGCATTCTCATGGAAGTGGGATGTGAGGAGCGCAGTTGTAATGGTTACAATGTCTTGACTGACCCTGTGGTTACTGATGGCCATTTAATAAATAAGAAATATTTTCAATAGTAATCATGTCTCATTAAGGATTTAAGGAGTATACAACCAAAATAATTGTTGCATGTTTTTTAAGTTGCTATTGTGCTTTGTATCTGTATTTTTAGACAAAAAACTTGATCCAGATTACCTAGGGAAAAAGCCACATGCAAAGAACAAATAGTCAAATTATATTTTAAAACAGGAAATTATGAGCTACAATAAAAATTTGTAAGCCAGACATACAGATAAGGTTTATCTACCAGTCCACAGATATTACCTCACGTATCTCAATCTTTTATTAAGTTTTAAAATGTTGTTTCTTGGTGAATGCTAGAAAATAAGAATTATTTGTTTTTTAAATTTAAGTAACTTATGCAAGATATGAATAAAACTAATTTGTTTCAATCTGCAACTGCAGGAACCTATTGAAACTGATGAAAATTGCAGGTGGTCAGAGTCCACCCTTCAGGAGAGAGCTGCTGTCACTGTAGGTGTCCTAATCTTGTAATCTTTCTTCCAAGACCCTGAGCAAGATACCGCTAGAGCCAGAGAGTCACACACAATATTGGTTTATGGCAATAGGTTAGAATAAAGGCAAATGGCTGGGTACTTGAGTATATTGTGGCTTGATGCAATCTTGATGCAACTTAGCAGCTATTCCAGCTAAACTTAGTCATTGATAACAGAGGTCTCCTGATTTGGAACAAACCAGGTATTCCCTGCTTGGTAATGCCTCTGACACCCTGAACTTGGGCAAGTTTTGATTTTTAGGGACCTTGGTAGTGGCATGCAAATGCCATCAAATGCCGCTGATTCTGCTGGGTGAGGTCTGGCACTAAAAGCTTCCTTAGTTTCCATAGGCTCCTACTGGACTCTTTCCTCACTCATCTGATTCCCAGCCAGAACAAATCCACATAAACCCATTGACTGCTAAGGAGGCCCACTGACAACAGCCATGGCCTGGCCTTGTTTAAGCACATGTGTGTTTTGCCTCTAATACAAAAGAAACGTGGTAATTGTTCATGTTGCTAATTGTTCTTTTTGGTAATGGCTGTCCTTTTTCATCTATCCCCTTTGAAATATGAATTAGCTTTCTTGCTTCTTATCTGATGAGCTAAACAGGGTGGCCTTCCTGAAGGAGGATTCAATCAACATGCAAATATCAGATTAGATGGAGAATAGATGACACTTCTGTCTCATCCTTTGTGAACTTAATTCATAAAGCATCATAAGCAAAATAATTACTTCTTTTTTGAGTCTGTAATTGCCAAGTACACTATATTTGCTGTTCAGGAAGAAATTATCACTGTGCTATCAGATAAAAATCTGGAGCTAATGGGAAACACAAAATTTCATGTCAAGGAAATACAAAACAAGGTCATGTAATTTCTGCACATAATTGTGATAGTGTAAAGCCTAATTCTGCAAGACAATGAAATTCATCCACTGAACAGAAGTCCTGATCAGACAGGTAATTTTAGGAATGGAATCCTATTTAAATAACAATTGTGAATAGCAGTCCTAACTAGACTTAAGTTGGGATAAAAAGGCATTGTGGTGAACATTCAGATAAGGCACATTAGATTTGATCATAAGATGCATATAATAATTTAAAAGTTTCAGGGAGCCAGCTGACTTGTTTTTGTCACATATAGCTTTCTAAAGCAACATATAAGAGACTGCTTGATTAGGGAGACAGTATCTCAGTTGCTAATTAGTGGCAGAATTTGAGAGCAGATGTTCTCACCCCAGATCAATGATGTAGTACAGTCAGACAGGTTTCTTTTGACTGTGGTATTTTTGTGGATAGATACCAGATCAAGGAGATGGAGCTTCTCTTGAAAAGCAGATTAAGCATATAAAACCAAAAAATACCCCACCTTTTAAGCAAAGAAAATTGTGACTAGAGCTACAATGTAAAGGAAGGGTGTTTAATGCTGAACTCTCATGTGCTGAACTTGCCAAAGCAAAATACCTGTAATGCTGTTACCAGCTTCAAAGCCTTGTGTTGGTAGCGTTGCCCCCCGAGTTAATGCAGTGCTCCTGCAATAGCTCAGGCAGCACAACACTGACAAAGCTGATTTTTTTAAAAATATGAAATGAGGAGGAGAAAAAGAAAAATACTTCTTAATGCAAAACAGGAATAAATAATGGCATGAAATAAAATAAGAGGTAAGGACTAGACTTCTGTGCAGGTTCTGCCCATCAGGGTGGCTTGGAGCAGTTCAGAAAGGACCATGCCCTTCCTTGGGGGCAGCACCCAGCAGGCAGCAAGAAGGGATAACTGGATAATTGCAAGTGCAGGAGGAGGTGTGAATGAGTGGGGACAGGTGGAATCACAGCTGTGGCAGGAGCACTGCTGGAAGCTCTTCCCCTGCCCAGCTCTCCCAGCCCTGGCAGCTGCTAGCGAAGGGACCAGGCTGGCCACACTTCATGTGGCTTGGCCCTTGGGAATGACAAGGTGAAGTGCTTTGCAAGGGTGAAAAAAGGCCTCAGGTGTCTGTGTTCACATCAAAGGAGACAATCTGCCACAGCAGCTGGGAGCCAGTAACTGAGGCAACTTGGTGCCCAGCACTGAGCTCACGTGTCGTAATGCAGAATTATGCTCTGTCTTTCCATGTATGATGCCCTGATGTGCCATAGTAGCATACCTTCTGACAGGAGGCAGAAGCAGCTCTTTTACTCTGCCTTTGTTGCCACTTGACACAGTTCATGGAAGTGAGCATGATTGTGCCTTGGACTAGTTGAGGGAGTAAGCAAGCTCTGCCACAAATGCTGCCAATTGAGAAGTAAGATTATCCCTTGGAGAGATATTTTCATTGCTATTAGATAAATCTAGTTAGGTTTCCTTGTGCTTACATTTATGAGTATGCTTGAATGAAGAAAAGACATGCTCCTTTTTCAGGATTCTCCTGCTGCCTAGGCACTCTGTGTCTCTGCTGCTTTTCTCCCATGTGTTGGTAGCTGCTGGGAGCAGCCACAGCCTTTGCCAGCTGAAACTGCAGCTTCTCACGCAGCAGAACCCCAAGTCAGGGCATCTGGATGCTATCATAGGGTCAACAGCAGCCTATGGGTGGAGGTGCACAACATAAAATTTGGGACGAAGAGATGTTAATATGGGACATCTACTGTTGCACTCCTGAATTTCAGAAACAAATACCTTCTGCATACACATGCTGCTCTGTAACTGGGATTATTGACAGGATTGACAGTGCTCTCATATTATTGGAGTGACATTGCAGTAATCTTCATCTCTTTCATTAGCAACTCCAGAAATAAAGGATATCTTATGTAGGCATCTGCATTATTTGCAAGATGTTCTCACTATTCATCACAATAATTTTGTTTCTTGTCTCTTTCCTCTTCTCCCCTGCTGTATATAAATGCAGCATATTATCTAGGTTCCATGATTTTTTTCTCTTATTGTTTCTCAGAATTGTATTTCCACATAAGACTGACCATGCAGTCTGATATTGCTTCCTTTCTGAGAGTATTAGATTTCTCAAGAGATGAAATATGGACACTATTAGATGGCATTGACTTTTTTAAAGCTGTAAGTAGTGGCTGATAAAATCAGTAACACAGATCATTTTAAGTGACCTTTCATCCTAATAATTCTTTGGCTTTGTCTGATACGGAAATTAATTTTACATAATGTGAGAAGATATATGTATGGAGTCTTGAAAGAGCATATTTTCTTCTGAGTTACTGAAACTTGCAGCTGTATTTTCTCTTTGAAGTTTGTGTCATTCTTTGTGGTAAATGACTGAAGATGCTGTCTCTCTGTGTTAAAATTTTGTGCAGTGGAAGATGTGGCTAATGTGCTGTATAGGTATTGTGGTCACACTGTGAGAGTTTTATCACTCCATGAGGGTCTGCAGGAGGCCATCTGTGGCTGACCCTGCTTGCCTGTTTGAAGGTGGGTGTTTGCAAGGGTTTATTGTCAGAGACAGCAACACCTCAACCACGGTGATGTCAGTAAGGCTGATGTTGTGAAGGCGGAGTGGCAAAGGGGACTCAGCAGTGCTGGAGTCCTCTCCAAGGCTGTGACAGCAGCTGGAGAAAGCAAGTGTGGCTGAGGATGAGGGTGGTGGGATGAAGCTGCCTGCCCAGGGACTGTGCTGTGCAAAGAGTAGCTTGTGATCTTCAAGGAGAAAGGTTTGCATAAGGAGCTGAAAGAAGGTCCAGCAGATCCATAACCCAGAGTTACTGGGTTTTCTCCATTTACTGTGGATGGATGGGTAGAGTAGATCCCCAAATCCAGAAAAGCCAATGCCCCAGCCTCCCCTGGAAAGGAGCTGCAGGTACTCGCTAAGTGGAAGACTCCAGCTCCCGCTCTTGTCCAGAGACCATTGTTTCTGTCTGCACCTGTGAAAGAAGACTGCATTGGGAAAAGCATCCTGTGGCACTGGGACTGGGGTGGGAATGGAGCCAGAGAGTGCCGCTCCTGCTGCTGCTGGAGAGGGACTAATGGCCCCTCCTTTATCTGAACCATGGAGATGGAAAGAGTGAGCTGGGGGAAAGCTGTGCTGGTGACAGAGCAGTGAAATTGTTGATTCATATTATGCATTCAGAGGGCAACTTTTGGGTGTCTGCTCTGTTGAATGCTGGATGAACATGTAATTGCCATCAATAAATGAGAACAAATGTCAGTTTTGCTTTGAGGTGAGAACCCCCTTTAAATGAGGGTAAACTAAAATCATGAAAGGTCCAAATTACTTGAAAATGTTATGTTCTGCAGTATGGTGCAGAGTAATACGGAGAAACACCTTTTGTGGGTAACTGAGCATGGGATCCTGGAGCTGTAACACATGACATGGAAAGGCTTCCATCAGCTTCTAACTCAATCTTTCATTTTTTGTCTTTCAGAAACCGTAACTGGGCATTTTAAAGGGGCTAAAGATGACTGCTGGCACCAAAATTTGACTTTTTTTAATGGTACTTGAGGTAAACCTTGCTTAGTATCTAATATTTTATTTTACTAAATAGGAAGATTATTACTAGTAACTTATATTTCATTACCTTTTCTCTGTGCTTCCAGACTCTTGGAGGAGAAGAACATTTAAATTTTCACAGCTATGTGAATTTTCAATTAGTAAACAATTTCCATTCTCAACTCCTGTTTTCAGTTGATTCTGCCTTGTCAAATGAGATTGAATCCAAATTAATTACATGTTATACTACCTATCTCAGGGGTTGGTGGCTTTGCAAGCTTCAGCAAATTTGATCCATCAAATTTGGAAAAAGCCTGACACAAACCAGTTTAATTTCCTTAAGCCAGAATTCTTGGAGCTCTTTAGCCTGAACCGCAGTGCCTCATTTTGGAGCAGGAAATGAAGCTCAGTAGGAGGGTTTGATTTACAACTGGATCAGTTTTCAGTTTTCCCTCTCCTCAAATCTGGCCAAGACATAAACCTCTGAAAAAAAATTCACTCTTTCACTTGCACTTTGACTATATGGTGCTGAGGGTAAGTTCTCAGATGATTTCATCTCCGGACTTAAGGCTCCAGCCCAACATCATCTCAGGAACTCTTCCACTGTAATTGGGCATTGGAGCCAAGGATGAAGGAATGCCACTCTTGCAGTTCAAGCATATGGATGCATAAGGCAAAGCTGTGAAAAGCAGGTGGAGACAGACTAGTGAGTGGAGAACAGATGTAGGGATAGACAGGATAATCTGGATGGTAGGAATAGGAGCATGGCAAAAAAGCACAGTAAGGAGCTGGGATATGAAGCAAGAGAAGACAGTGGGGAGGCCGGTGGGTTTGTAATCAATGGAACATATGACCTTCTAAGATCAAATTCAGGATGGGTGAGTTTCTTCAGAATCTTCCCCAGCAAACGGACTGAAAATAATATCAAAATTGATAAATTCACATAAAATGTGAATGTTCTCCTACATAGAAGGCAATGGTTTGCTGTCAGCTCCATGAGCTGAGTTTGAAGGGATTCACAGATGGAAGCAGCCCAGTGGGGTAAGGACTGCTTTGGGGTGGAGCATAGAGGTGATTTCAGTGCCTCATACACACAAGAGATGATGGGCTAGTGCATCAGAGCGAGCCAGAAAAGCACTGAGACATTTAAGTACAAGGTCTCCTCAGTCACTCTGTGGGACAAGTCACCACAGAGGAACACTGCTGCCATTTTAAGCATATTAGTCTCTGGTGATAGCATTTGAACAATACCATCAGAATGCTGGCAGACATGTTTCAGAACACTCTAATATCTTGTATAATATCAGCTAAGGAATGAATTGCTTTTCCAAGCTTCATCAAGAGAACTGGGACAGATTGGCAGAGCACATACTGCAGGGTACGTGACACTTCAAAGGAGGGAAGTACAGGATACAGGAGGTACTGAATTTAATACCTTTTGTTTAACCCTGACAGCAGAAAACAGAGCTCTGTGTGTTTCTGTGCTAGACCTGAAGTGATCCATTCCCCATATATGCTGAACCCTAGCACTTATTGCCATCTGGGTTAAGGGTCTGCTTTTCTCCTCGAGGAAAGGACTGTGGAGGGTTGACAGCGTTTGAGCAGGGCTGATGCAGAGACATAATTAAAGGACAAGGCAGGTATTAAAATTAGTGGGTAGCCACAGGGCATTGATCACAGGAAAGTGACAGTCCTGCAGCTGGAGCACAGACAGCATGATACCTTGGCTGGGAGAAGAAGTGAGGGATGTAGCTGAGTCATGAAGGAAGGAGGATTGGGGGGGGGGGGGGGTGTGGGGGGGGTGTGGAGTGCTTTGTGCTTCCATTTAGTACCAGGGAGATGTGAGCAGCAGTATTTCAGTTATGACTGATGCAGGCTTGGTTTGAAGAAGTACCCTTGAATCTCTGCTAATTATTTTTTGGAGGTAACATTTGCAAGAGCAATACATTTTCAATACAAGATCAGCGCTCTCAAATCCAACTGAGGAGGCTTTTGTGGAAGATGATTCCCCTTGCAGGGAGATCAGGTGCACCTTTGTTGGGGAAGGAGGGCCAGGAGACCACTGAGCAGTGTCAGCAGACCCCCAGAGCAGCAGCTGAGGGACTGTTGGCTCTCAGACCTCTCTTGAGTGCAGTTATGACACTCCTCCAGGGAGGGAACCTCTCCTGTGCTGCCAATTACATCCTGATTTTGACCACCTTGATGGGGTGCAATACAAACCATCCTATGGGTCACTGAATGATTGTTTGTAGACTGTTAAAAAAAAAATTAATTCGGAAGAGCAAGCTCAGTTAATTGAATTTACTCATTTGGAAATTTTTCCTGAAGCCTTGTTTGAGATCTGCATGCATTTAGTATATGCATGTCTTGTAAGTGCCAGAAGAAATTGAATATGCAGGTCATGAAACAGACCTTTGGATGGCCTCTCATTTAGGGAAAGGAAGGGATAGTTCAAGCAAGACTGAAAAGTTTCCCTCCAGGGCAATGCTTTTCTGGTAGAGATGGCTTAAACTGTCCTTTTTGATCACCATATCAATATAAAGAAATGTGTTGGGGTCTTGCTTTTAAAACTGGGCAGGTTTTAAAACCCTCAAATACTAGATTTAGCAGAAACACATAATGTAACAATATAATGTTAACAATATATTAATGTAAATTTCATATGGAGTGCTGCCTCACCTGCACTTGGACTGAGACTAAAACAGAGCAGTTCCTTGGCCCTGTCCCCTTCAGTCTCAGTCCCCAGCTGAAACCAAGCTCAGGGTTTTGTTCCTGCAGAGTGAAGGGAGAAGTTGGCCTGACCAGAGTCCTAATGTGGACCTGGGCAGTGTCTTGATCCCTCTACATCCAGCAGAGCCTTACAGATATCGTGCATAGCACTGTGGGCTTTTTCTTGCCTTGTGAAGGTCTGCATTAGAGAAACCTACCTCGGGACTCATTTTCAGGGAAGAAGTAATGTGCTCAACATACCTAGAGAACTTAGAATTCATCCCTAAGTAACACTTTCCTGAAGACACTTTCCATGGGACATTTTCTTTGAGTACTAATGATCTGTCTTGGAACTATGATTCTACAACTTTACTCATGTTCTTCATATAAACAAAAGAACATAAATTATGAACTTTGGAGTCTGAGTCAGGGCAGATAGGCAACACTTGAGAGGGTTTGCAAACTGGTTCTCTTGCTGGCTGCATCATATTTCTATAAATGCTGGTTTCAGTGCTGATACAATCAACATAGGCCTAATGAAGAAACATTGTGTTGAGAGAAGGAAAAAAAGAGAGAAGGAAAAAAAGCTTCGGTTTGGAGATGAAATTCACTTTTCTTTCTTCTTCTAGTCTCATTGGTTTTATATTACTCATTTAATTCTGCGGTCACTTTTCAAGATCTCCTGCAGGGGATTTTGCTTCCTCTTCTCTGGGAAGAAGGTTATGCAGGAATTTTCCACCTGTGTTCAAGTACTGAGCAAATACGAAATTTAAAAATGAAAAATCTGTCTTTTTAAAAGGTGAGGGAGGCAGACATCTTTGCACAGAGTTGCAGGAAATGATAGATGAAGTTTGGAAGGTTGTTATAAACATGAGTGGTGCTGCTGCCTGATCTATTTGTTATGTACTTAATTTGTGGCTTAGTTTTAAATGAAGCTAAATGCCAGCTGTCAATCTAGCTCAGAAATGGTAGAAAATCTGGGATTCTGGCTGCAGAACTCATGTTGCTCAAGGCAACCTGCATTAATAGTCTAAGGTAGCCCATCTTGCTTTTCCTACAGCACACAGTCAGCCATTTGAGTGATGTATATGCTACTGTCTACTGTAAGTGTTGGTGATACTTTCCATGTAGAAAATGCCATCAGTATGACAGATATTCACTGCCAACACATCAAAATGGAAAGCCTGCTGCAATTCAAATAGAAATATCCTGGGAGGTTCTCAGCTATGTTGAATTAAGGCTGGAATAATAGATCAAATGTTTCTTTCTAAGCTCAGTTAACCATGAGAACAGGACACAGCTGTGAGTCCCTTTAAGGCAGTACACTTGTCTGCCAAGTTAGAAGGCAATTATTCCTCATAAATCTGTCTTTTTAAATCCAAGCAGATCGATTGTCTCGTCCATCCTTTGCCTATGCACACACAGACAGGCTCTTTTAGCACCACCTACAACTAAGCACCCCTCTTTTCAGGAGAGCCACACCCATGGAGGTGATGGAAGCCCTGGCAGCCCTGCATATTCCTTTATAATGATGGATGTAAAGGTATGTTCATTTTGCTCACATTTTTAGTGCTTTAAACAAGAAGTCTCTGTTCTGGTTTTAAGCATCATCTTGGCTTTAGATATCTGACCTCTATGCAAAGAAATAGAATACTTCTAAAATTTTGTTGTCTAGCTAATAGGCAGAAAAGTGTTGCAAGAAGACAGGGTGGTTTCCTTAGGTCCATGTCATGGTTGCATCAGTGTAGAGCTTCCAGAGCTGCACTAAAATCGGCCTGGTTACAAGACAATCATCTCCTAATAGCCCTATTTTGCCAAATCACCCAGGCTCTGAAAGTCAAAATGGCTTCTGCCCTTCCTGGTGACCTGTAATCATGGGTAGACATCCAGCAGATCCAGTGAAAGAAAAAACATTTTGGTGCAGTTTTAAGCAAAGCCTACATAAAAATATGTGCTTATTTTGATCTGAGTAACACACTGGTGATTTTCACTTTTTTTTTTTTTTTCTTCTTTCAGTTAGGGAGAATGCTTTTCAGTATTTGCAAAGTGCATTTTTAGATTGCTCTGACTACAGCTATTACTGCTATGGTGTGTCTTCTCTGGCTGACATTTGGCCGTAAAACCCCAACAAATGCTATAACAAAGTGAGAAGAGTTGGCATAAATTGTTCTCTCCTATGCTACAGTGGCATAGCAATGAAAGAAAGGAAGTTCATTTTTCTTTTCTTTGAACTTTAATTTAAAGAACATATTGATATATGTATCTATTCTGTTATCATGAAAAAAAGCAAGGAAATGAGATA